CCTCTTTTGTCTGCTTGAGGTAAATTCTAAAGAAAAGTAAACCCAACCAAAACCTTCTACAGGTCTAAGTGGTGTGAGATAATTATCCATTAGTGGCTATTTTGCCATTTTAGTGACTGTTAATTGTTAGGGATTTTTTAAATCCTTGCTTTGTTGGTACTTCCTCCCAACTGAACAGAGAAATCACTTTAAACAACCAAGACTAGAATTTTCTCCGTTTGTTGAAAACAAAAATCCACACCTTTGTGTGTCTGTTTGCAAACATATGTATTCCAGATAAGCCCAAATATTAATCTACATAAATTTGTGTGAAATGGGATTAACCATCCTGAAGAAACCCAGAGATGTAGAGTAGGGGATTTCAAATCACTTTGCATAAACGCAGCAGCCTGAGCTCTGTCTGTTATCCCAGACATGGTGATCTGAAGTATCACAGGACAACCTGAGAGGCCCTTTGGAGTCTGAATTCTTCTGATGCACATGGTTCTTTCCTGTCAGGACAAAGTACTTGGACTTGTGGGCTCTGTGGCTAAGAATTTGTCAAGGAGAGATTTGTCACTTTTACAAAGTGACTTGCTAGAGATCCTGGACAGGCTTAGCCACTTCTTGGGGGATTCTACCATCCTTCTAGGGCTATTAATGCAGTGGAGGACTGAGAGACTCGATTAGGGAGTATGTTCTGGGAAGTGAAACAGCTGAGCTACGACTATGGAAGGCTGAATTTGGATCAAGCCTTACTTAAGGTGGGGAAAAAGCTTGTCATGTTCTGAACCAAGAGAGGCTAACTTAAACAGGGTGCTCCAGTGTAGGTGACTCAGCAGGGAGCTGGGTAGGAGTTGGACCCTGTGGAATAAAGCTTCAGAGCTGGAGAGCTAACCTGTTTCCTTCAGTGTCAAAGTGAGGAAGTTTCCTCTCTACTACAGCTTTTTTTCTGAACTATTTTTGTTATGGAAACCTGGTTATGACAGTCTCTAGCACTAGGTGCTGTCTGGAAGACTTGTTGGTTTGGGAAAAAAGCTGATTTAAAATGAAGATGTAAGCCAGTACCATTATCAAAGTGCTGTAATGAATAATCACAGCACTAAACTCCAAGGTCTGTATGAAATAATACAGCTGCTTTAGCTCCCAGATTGATTTTTCATCTTGCTTTCCTGAGCTCCCCTGTGTTGTCTGCTATTAAATCCTGTTTTCATCTCTCCCTCTGGTTCTGTGGCATCAAACCAAAAAGCATCTCCTTTTTAAGAGGCACTTGCAAAGGGAGAACCTGAAAGGGGTCCAGAGGTTGGTCAGCAATAGTATATTGATTCTGAAGAGTATCAAGGAGATTTTGTTTATTTAATTACTTTTTAAAATTCTGTAATCAATGGTCCTGTTAAAATGGACTTTGTGATCAAAGGGAGAGAGACACTGACAGAAGAGGGAAGCAGCTTTGTATAGCTCTCTGATGCTTCATGTCGTCTCAAGCAGGGGTCAAACTGCTGGAGAAATTCTAGTAATTGTTTATGAGTAATTTTAGTGATGTGTCTTTCTGCTTGTGAGTTTTGAGTTGGTAAGATTGGTGTTGACACTACATAAGCATCTTGTTCTAGTGTTTCTCCATGTTTTTTGTGCATTGTCATAATGCTACCTTAGAATTTTCATGCATGAAGAGATCAGAACATTTTCTCTGGGTTTTTCAGCACAAAGGTGTTTCTCTCACTTGCTGTTTGCGATCACATTATGTGAATTACCACAGTAGGAAAAAGTTTCCTTTGTTAGAGGTGACTTTTAGTAACAAACACATTTGCTACTCTTGTGTTCTTTGTGTTTCTGTTACCTCTGCAGTTTTTCAAGCCACAGCACTGAGATGGTTACACACTGAAATGTGTGTTACCATAGCTAGTTGCAGAGCAGGTTTTTCTCTGGTGCTCACAACTAGTGACAAGTGTAGTGCTCTGAGTGGGTTGTGAGGGTGTGTTGCTCAGCACTGTAAAGCCGCAATCATGTATGGATATCTGGAGGCTTTAATTCTTAAACAGATGAAGTTTTGGAGTAGTTCACTCCTCTTCTTGAATCATTTCTCTCCCTTGTCTCAACAGACACAAATCTAGGCTTTGCAGTACCTCCTGTTGATATAACAGACCTCACAATATTTGTTGCCTTCCCATGGGATAACTGATTCTTAACTCTTGAGTGGTTTTTTTTTTTGGGGTTGTTGTTTGTGTTGTTGAGTACCTGGTCTTATTTGCTTGTTTAATTGAGAACAATTAGTGCTCAGGGTCTGATTACTCCACAGAGTGTCACTTTAGGATTTTTAATGGCAGCTCGTTATAGCTAAAGGGTCAGTGCTGGTGGGAATTTGGAGGATTATCTGTGTATTATCAAGTTGATGCATAGCTCTATGCTCTTACATTTACCAAGCCAGCTGAGCGAGTTCTGCAGTTAGACTTGCAAACATGTGGCAGGGCAAGGGGAGAGCAAGAGCTGCTTTGTTGTTCAATCATCTTTTTGTTTAGCTGTCCCTGCTTTAGGCTCTTCAGGGGTAGTTGGGATGAGGGAACTATCTTGTACTGGCTTAGTTAAAGGTAAACTAATTATTCAGTAATAAACCCAGTAGAATTATTTTATGCCAGATGTTTTCCTAGTGGTAATATGTATAGAGAGACAAGTATCTCTTTTCTATGTTCTAATTTTTTATTAAAGAGGTTGAAATTGTGGGGTTTATGTTATTCCTCACACTAAAAATTAGCATCTTTTCTTAGGAGATACTTGTAATGAAACCCATGATAGTTCATTACAGTGCAAGAAGAAACAGTGCTTAGAGATGAAAATTGTATTGAGTCTGCTTGAAACTTCCTCTTAATTTGACTTCCCTCCAGTTTTTCACTTACTTTTGAATGACTTAAAATACTCATTAAGTTCAATTAATGTTAAACACATTCAGAGTCTATTCCTTCAGTGCTAAATGTTATGTGATATTTAAAGGGAAATAAATCCTTGTTAATGGGTTTGCTTAATTAATGCTTAAGAAAATTCTGTGAAAATTGACTATTTTAAATTATGCAAAAAATCAGCTTGTATTTTAGGTACTTCAATACCACATTGGTTTCTATGCAATTTCAAGTGCTGAATATGAGGCTAGTGAGCCTTATATATGTGTGTAAGAAATCAAGTGAAAATGTAGGTGAGTTTCTTAGTTAGTTTTGTTCTTTGCCGCTGACAACTGAAATAATTAGTAAAAACATACCTTTGTTCAGTGTGATAAATATCAAATGATATATGTTGTTGGTTTTGGCTGAAGAACTTCTTAATATCATTAATATTTCAACAGAGGGCACTCGTGTGCTTTGAGGTAACACCAAGTCCCTGTGGCTTTAAATGTACTTGGAACAAACTGGAGCTGAAGTGAAATTTTGTGGGCCAAAATATGTAAATATGACTTGATAGTGTTCTGGAAAATTGGTCATTGGCATATTTTTGTTTATTTATACATATTCCTTCTATTTTGGAAATTTGCTTTGTTTCTTTGGATATTTGATAGGTTGAGGCAGTGCATTCTTTTTGCCTTGAGCTGATGCTAAAAGTTGCACTATCATTGCTTTATCATAGAGTTGCTGTTAGCTAAGAGTGAACAGTTGTAAAAATGAACCAGAATTTAATAAATACTTTCTTTCCAGCCAAAAAGCCAGTAGAAGAATCAGACGAAAAGAAAGCATCTCAGCCAAAGAAAAAGATCAAAGAATTAAGAGTTTTGGATGGAAAATCCGCACAAAACTTATGTAAGTGATGGGAAATGCCTTTGGGCAATTTCTAATTAGCATCTACACATATGACTGTTCTTAAATTTCTTTTTTTGTTTACATGTGCAGGGGTATTTCTTTCTAAAAACTACTCATTTGAGAGGTTTTTAGAGATCTCGTCTGAGATCAAATTGCTTTGAGAACTCATTGAAGGGTTTGCAGTATATGTTGTCTCTTGTATGAGTTCAGTTACCCTAAAAATGGTAGAGGTAGGGTATTTTTTTCTCTTTGCCCAGATCTTCACTACCCTTTTGGGACTTTTTTTTCCTAGAATGTCATGTAAATATCATTTATCCAGTGGTAAATGCAGCAGAGCTATTGATACCTGGCTCTGAAAGCAAAAAGAATGAGAGGTCAAGTGTTCTAGTGGCTGAATAGGTCCAAGTGGAAATGCAGATGTCATTCAACAAGATCAGACTTTATTGCTAAGTAAAACTGCTAGGGAGCTACTGAGGATGATCAAAAAGTGAAAAGTGTTGTCATAATTTCATTTATCGGAAAAGAAATTAATTGTAAATCAAACTGCAATAATGTGTCTCATTTAGCATTGGTGTTATGTGGGAGATTTCTTAATTAATTGTGAAACATAATTTGACTGAAGCTATGATTTTTCAGTTGCTAGAAATTATGTTTGCCTTTTTATAGCAATCTTTTTTACCTTTTTGATTCTAATTATGTATTCCTATGTTTCAGCAATATTTTTGGGTTCTTTCCGTTTGCCTTATAAAGAAATAAAAAATATCATTTTAGAGGTTGATGAAGAGAAGTTGAGTGAATCCTTGATTCAGGTATGTGAAAATACTTCTGGTTTTATTGATAGCTTGTTTTCCAGATAAAAATGGCATAAGTATAAGAATAGCATAGAGAGGTATCAGCTACAAGTGTATCAGTTGTGTTTTCTGTTCCATTTATTTCACCTCGACTTTCAAATATGGTCACATGTAGCAGTAAAACTGTCTTTAAAAGACACTTTTAACAAAAGTACCTTTGAATCTCTCACTTTATGAAGTTTTGCTTTCAAAAGGAAATCTCTGAGAATTTTAGTTTTTCAGCTTTGAAGGCAAACTGAAGAAGATTTAGGCACGTGGATAATAAAGTTTCATCAGGCATCTTGAGGAAACAGTTCTGCTTGTCTCTAGTGAGAGATGAAACTACCTGAATGTTTCAGGATACTGCTGCAACTCAATACTCATCTGTAAATCAAACCTGCTTTCAGGCTGGTTTGGTCTCATTTTGAGCCCAAAGTCTCTCAGCTGGAGAGAACAAAGTGTGAAATACAACTTCTTTGCATGCCTCTCTGATTTCCTCACAGTGAGAGGAAAGTGAGTGTGCCCACAACCCCTCATGATCCCTGAGGAGTGACAATACAACAGAGAAGCACGTAAACCTTAAAAGTTATAAAGATATAGCACACCAGTAATACTGGTGTTGAATTATGTAATATCACACATAGATTCAGATTCTACCTAAAATGCAGGCCCTTAATCTGTCATTTCATCCTTCCTGTCTCCTGTTTGCACCTTTGTCCCATTCCCCCCAAGGTGTTCTAAATTAATTTCTTCTTCCATTCTTGGACCTGGAAGACGTTTATTCCAGGGACACTGGTATAAACTGAGTTGCCTTAGCGTTTAGAAAATAAGTGCAAAGTCCTAATTTTATTTAGGACTTGATTTGTTGTCCAGGGTTGTCAGATCATGTGTTTAAGAAGCTACAGCTTTAGTCAAGTCAAAAATCAAGGGGAAGGAAACAACCTAACCTTGGATATCTGAAGTGCAGAGTAGTTTCATCTTGGTTATCTCTACAGCAAGTGTGGCTCAATAGAGTGGCTAAACCAGTGGTAAGACAACACTGTGTTTGGTCACATGTCAAAATGACACATATGAGCTCCTATGTAGTAAAAGAACTTCATCCCAGCCAGTCCTGGGAGACCATAAAAAGGCAGATGTGATTGCAAGGTGTGTCAGGTCAAGGATTTCCAGTCAAGAGGATCATTTTTATGCCTTTGAATAGTGTACTTCTAAGACCTTATCTAAAATACTCAGTACATTTCTCAAAAATGAATTTAAAATAGAGAAGCTGAACTTAAAAACTGCTTAAGATGATTGAGGGATAGAGGAACAGTCTACAGAAGGAAGCAGAAAAGATTGGCTTGATTAGATCAGCAATATAAATAGCTGTGAGGGATATGACTACATTATAGCTGTATGGGGAGAAGAGTGATGTGCATAAGCATTGGGGAGAAAAATGAAGTTGCATAAGTAAAAGGTTATGTTAACACCAGAATAAATGTATATGAATTGATCACGAAAGCAACTGTCTAGAAACTCGGCTGCCTATAATCTCCAGAAAATGGAGGCTTTGGAGCTTGGTCTGTTTCTGAAGGGAATGATGTGGCAGAGTTGTTTCCTGTAGCAGGGAGATGTAGCTGCTAACCTGGAAGAGATTCCTCTGTGCTTCAGGAGACATTCTTAGAAATGTACTGGGATAAATGGGCTGTATCACCTATTTCATGTTCAGTCTATTCCGATTTATTTTAATTTTAATCTTCCAATGGAGCTATTAACTAATTTACCAGTTTAACAGTTTTCAGTACTACTGATTGGAGAAACTGTGCAAAGCAAACGTTGCTTTCCTCCATGCTTAGCAAATCTCACACTTGATAAAAATGCACATGTAGAAACTGCTTTGTTCCAAGTGTCAAAGTGGGGAAGTGAAACGGGTATGGCATAATTGAGCAAATAGCAAAGTGCTTTGTCAGTTTTGCTTCTCAGGCCCTTGTTTCTTGCTGCTTTTCGAACTCATGGTGTAATCCTCACTAAAATTAACTGGATTAATGAGTTTGCGTACATGGTAGACTACAGACTGTTGTAACTCTTCCTTGAGGAAAAGACTTTAGGAAAAAATACTTGAGTTCCCAGTGTTTCTTAGAGAGAGTAAGCTCTTGTAACCATAGAGTTGGTGAACACTGTGCTGAGCAGAATTCAGAGCATCGTGGCAGTGAGGAGTGAGTGATAGTTTCAGCCTCCTAATGCAAGCCTTAGATTTCTTTTTATGCGTATGTAAACCATTTTCCTTACCCTTTTTTGTTTAAACCCACATCATCATGAATGCATTATGAAACTGTTTCCTGAAGTACTGACAAGAATTTGAATATGTGATCACTGAATGCTTTATCTTCATTTTCAGTGATTCAACATATATATGTGTATGAGTGTGTATAAATATACATATATATGTAAAAAGGCTGCAGTGTTCTCTTCTTAGAAACTGAGGGTGAAATGAGTTGATCTGTTGGCTCTAGAATATAAAGGCATGTGGATGAAGAAAAAGCAATAATTAAGCAAGCTAACAGATATTGGCTACATGGCTAAAAAATGCTGGTTTAGTAGCAGGTACTTGTATTTCTGCACTGATGGAAAAATCATGTTTTACTGTAAGTTTATTAATGTGTACTGAAATGTACATTTCTGAGACTTTTGGTGACAGCATTTGGTATATAGTCTAGCTAGGTTAAAAAAATTGCATTAGTTAATGACTTTGATCTTTACCAGCATTAAACAATCAATCCAACGAGCAAAGATGTTTTACAGATACTTTTTTTTTTTTTCCGCAACTCGAAATTTGTGGGACATGGGTTAATAGGAAAGGAAACATACTTAAGTTTAAGCACGAGGCTGTAGCTTAATTGTCTGACATGAGGTGAGTCTGGTGCTCATCTCTGCCACATCTATTGCACACTGAGACATTGAACAGCTCCTCAGTGAGAGTAACAGAGATGTTTGGTATGAGACTGCTTGTCACCTTCATTTTTCTTTATTAAGACGGGTGAATGTTTGATTCTTTCAGCTTGGAGAATTAAGTTTGCTATCAGCTGCAAATCTGACAAATTAGACTGATGCCTTTCTCCAAGTTGTACCTTAATGTCTCCTTCAAGCCTGGCACAGTGATCAGTAATCAAATTCTCAAAATGAGTAAGAATATTGCAAGAGTGATGAAAAGATTGGCCTGTTCTAAAAATAACACATCTGTACCTCTAATGGTACAGGTTTTCTCCAATTAAGACTTCTAGATCTGAAAAAAATGCGCTTCTGTAGTGCTGGTTGCTTTTTTGACAGGTGCATAACTCTTTTCCTATTGATGTTTTCTTGAATATAAATGGATTTGATTTTCCTTCAAGAATTACATTATTGGTTTGTTTTCAGCTGGTGTATATGGGAAAATTGAATACAACCTAAACGTTTACTGAGTATCTCTTAAAACAAAGCATTCTTCAGCCTTAATATAAGTATTATATTCATTAAGCATGCCTGTATTTTGAGATCTTAAGATCACACAATAACTCATAGAATCATAGAATCAACCTGGTTGGAAAAGATCTCCAAGATCATCAAGTCCAACCCTACCGTGGTCACTAGCCCATGGCACTAAGTGCCACATCCAGTCTCAGCTTGAAAACCTCCAGGGATGGGGAATCCACCACCTCCCTGAGCAGCACATTCCAATGCCTGAGCACTCTCTCCATAAAAAAATCTCTTCCTAAGATCCAACCTAACCCTCCCCTGGCAGAGCTTGAGTCTGTGCCCTCTTGTCCTGCTGCTGGTTGCCTGGGAGAAGAGACCAACCCCCACCTGACTCCAACCTCCTGTCAGGGAGTTGTAGAGGGGGATAAGGTCTCCCCTGAGCCTCCTCTTCTCCAGGCTGAACCCCCCCAGCTCCCTCAGCCTCTCCTCATGGCACTTGTGCTCCAGTCCCTTCACCAGCCTCCTTGATAATACAATTGTCTTTGAGGACATGGTTACGATTGCAAACAAGTTGAGCTTTTTGATGAGTTCCACAATATTTGCTGTCGAAAAGATCTGTACAATATTCACGTGTTGCCTTTTTTTGGGTCAGGTTTTAAGTATATTTTATGTACTTTGACTATCTAAAGATATAAAATTGTTTTGGCTAGTTATATCTTGTTTTATACAGACCAGTTGTTACTCGATTAATATTTAATAATCAAGATGCAATCATTAGGGCAAAGTAGACTGCAGGTAGAGTATAATTCTTCAGGGTCTGACAGTATCAAGGAGTTTTGTCTAACCTTTTAATACTGAGAAGCTATTCTTCAAATCAGATACTGTAACAGAGGAGCTGATGTCTGTATTAAATAATTGCTGGTTTGATTTGATGTTTATATAGTGTTAAAGCTGCGTAAATAAAATAAGCTTCCCATAATTTCCTTATGCATTTCCATGTTGTGGTATTTTAAGCATGTTATTTTTAATATCTCAGTTAGTTTAATATAACAAATTTGATATAATGCCTTGTTTGTTTTAGAACCTGGTGAAGAATCTTCCTGAGCAGAAGGAACTCAATGCCTTAGCTGAATTAAAAGATGAATATGATGATCTTGCTGAGCCAGAGCAATTTGGAGTTGTGGTATGTATTAGTTCAATAATTGCCTCCAGAGTTCAATTTTGTCACATAAAAAGGAAAATTGTAGGGAGAAATTATTATGGTTAGTGTTTCTGCAAGTCCTGCAGTAGGAAAAGGTTGCTATGTACTTCGTGATAATGAAGAAATAATCAAAAGTCTCTGAATATGTGTTAGGCCACGTTGGATTGGGCCTGAGCAACCTGGTCTAGTGAGTGGCATCCTTCCCTGTGACAGGGGGTTGGAATTAGATGAACTTTAAGGTCTCCTCCAACCCAAACCATTCTAGGATTTCATGATTCTAGGTGTTTTTTTTGGATGGAGATACAGTATGCCATTAGGAGCAGCTGGTACTCCTGTGCCAGGCCAAACCTCTGGTCTGACTCTCTTGTCTTGAATGTTCAGTAAACAGTGATGAAGAACACTCATGTTTCAAGTAGTTAATTTTCCAAGAGTCCATAAAAGACCCATTTACTATGGCATTGACAGCTGCAGGAAATTTATTCTTCTGTATCAAAAGCTGTAAAGAGGTGAAAGAGTTAATGTGCCCATAAGTAGCTCTTGTGTGTGTCTCTCTATTTTATGTGTATATATATACACACATATATGTATGTATGCATATACATATAAAATATCTGTGTTTGTATATACACCCAAAAGAAACTTGACAAATGGCTCTAGAAGAGGTGTGGATTCATATTAGAGCTGAAATTGTCGATGGCATTCAGTTTCTTTTACTAGTATTAGTACATAAATCTACTCCCAAAGTAGGGATATGGAGTGCTTTGGTGGCTAGGACCTGTCTCCAAATGGAATTACTGACTTTGCATAAGTGACTTTAATCCATGCTGGTAGGTGATTGTGTGATACCAAGTGCTGTGCCAGGACTTGGAAATCACTTTCTGCTTCTGGTTGTCCAAAGACCTGAGAAGTCTTTAGGCAAATTAGCTCCTGTTTTCACTTCACTTTGGTAGTCTAAAAGATTAGGATGATGCTGATAGCCTCTGTAATGTGTTTAGGATTTATCCCCAACTCCACAGGAGCTTGGTTTGCTCTTGCTGGAGTTTTAAGGCATTATGTACATTAAAATGCATTAAAACAGGACTAGAGGCCTCTGAAAAGGGGAGAGTAAATCAGCTTTCTACAAAAAAAGCTCTGATTTGAGCATAATTTGGCTTCAGGAGTGCCTGTTGAGTGATTTATTTATTTATTTTTTAATTATTACTTTTCGGTTGGGGAAATAAGAGAATATAATTTGACCTAATGAGATTTTTGTAGAGGATTTATGAAATGAAAGATATCAATGACTCCTTTTGAAAAACTTTAGCCTATTGATTTCCTTTTTTTTCTTAATAAATGTGATAAAGTTCCAAAAATCTTTTATTTCGAAGCAAAGATGAGGAATTTTGGTAGGACTGTGATATTTTAGTTAGCCTTATTGCAAGGATTGCAGTAATAAAACATTAGCATTTATTGATCAGCAACCAACTAAAAATCTGTGTAAATACAGATTTAGTGCTTTTCTTGAAGGAATGGTAACATGCAAAGCATATTGAAAATATAAACATAACAATATATTAGTATATTGTATCTTTAGGTAGGTAAAAACGTATCCATATACATGGATATATTATGTTTTATGTACATACTTATGTATAGTTAAAAATCTGTTTAAAATCACTAGAAGGATACTTTGTTCCTTCCTTGTCATGTAACACACACTTTCAGGGTGAATAAAACAGTGTGATGGAATTAGAATGATACTTCCAGCCCTACAACAAAATGGGATTTTAATCCCTGGGAGGGGGAGGAAGAGCCTTGTTTTTGTTTCTGTTTCCTGCCTGTTTTTGAAATGTCAATGAGCAAAGGATGCCATAGAGTGGCTGATTTACCAAAGGAATTTTTCCTCATTTTGCCCTACATAAATAATGCCAGACAAAGTGGAAAATTACTTAGGTTTTGTGCAAGGACAATATCTGAAATGTGCCTAAGAAAAATGCATAATGGAAGCAAACAAGGTGGAGGCATTAGGACAAATGAAGACTCTGATGTCTGTGAATTTTTTTCAGTTAACTGTGCAAAGTAAGCACAGAAATGGAGAAAATGGTGCATAATGACCTTGATTTAAAAGACTCTGTAGATATTCCTTCATTTTACTGCTGTAAATTCCTTAATGTTTCACTCCTGATCTTTATAACTTGGATCATTTCCTAAATTGATTCCTCCTTCTGCCCTACATTCCCTTTAATGAGCATTATCCATACCTTGTCTCTTCTGCCTCAGCCTTTCACTCCTGTTTGGTTCTACTGCATTGCTCTCTACAGCTCATATATAAAGATAATTCTGGACTAGGGTACTGCTCATATACCCAGGGGTCAGGCATTTCCCTGAGTTTGGATTTCTGCTGGATTGAAACTAGATGGTCCTTGTTTTTCCCATTTGATTGCACTGAAAAAAGTCATCATAATATCCTAATTTCCCAACAGTACCAATATAGTCATGATCACTGTTTCATTGATTTGTGGTTTTGACTGACTAGAGAAAGTTGAGAGAGTTTTCAAGTACTTAATGCAACATTAATTAGCAAAAACTGCTTAATCAAACATCTCCAAATGGTGATGTTTGCCTTATGAAGGAACTAAGTTTCCTGAAGCTTGTTTGCTTGTTCAGCTTTACCATCTGCTTTAATAAAAAGCAGTACTTTTCCTTATGGGTTGTGCTTCTGTCTTATTTTTAGAGGCTTCTAACTACATTACTACTACTAAAATGCTGGTTTGTCTCTGATTTTGATTTCACTGAACAGCCCATTAAAGGGGGAGCAATGCAGCTGAATTTAAAGACTTGACTCAAGTTGTTTTTTTCTATGTGTCAAATTAATTTTGAAGTTTTGCATTAATAATAATCTTAACCTTGATGTTAGGCATAGGAGAAGACAGAAAGACTATCTTAAGTAATATTTAAAATGTGTACCCTTATTTGTATGTAAATGTAGGTATGTTAATTATTAAGATATGTTAATTGGATAATCACTTTGCCCATCAACTTTAATAAAGGTTGGAATAAGTTGCTTAAAATTTGTGTAGAAAAACCATACTTAGTAAATGATTAACTTATTAGAAGAGACCGATTAACTTAATATTCAGCTGATATGTAAATGGAAATTAGAACTCCATTTTCATTTAGATGAAATGTTAAAATCAATTATAAATTCTAATTAGTTATTGGAACTTTTTGAAGTTCTATCCTGGGATCAAAAAAGGCAACACAACTTCACATAAAGGAAAGTTTGCGTTGATGTTGAAGTAGAGCAAGAAAAATAGATTAACTGAATCAGCTGTATAACATTAAATAAGCTAAGCAGAATGTTATCTGATTTTGAAATGTAAAACTTGTGTTCAAGAGTTAATTTTTTTATGATATGGGAACAGCTGCAGCTTCAGTAAGGAACTGCATTTCCATTTCAGTGCCAGTTGAACATTTTTAGTATTATAAAAGAAGCTGTACAGACTTGCATATTCTGTGACCCTTTTGTCTGTCTAACCAGCTACCCTGGCCAGTCTTGGCTGGGAGGTAGACTAACTGGGAAGAGTTGTACGAATTTATTGCACTGCATTTGTTTAGTCATCTAGTCTTTGAAAACTAATTTATTTGCCACTTTTTTGGCCTAATTGTAATTTCTAGAGCAGCTGAAGAATTAATCTTCCTAGAGCGTTGTTAGGGAAAAAGGGGAACTTTAATATTATACAGGTAAGAGGCTAAGTTGTCTTAGTAAGTTGACAAATTTGTATTAGAGGAATGTCAGCTTTTTCTTAGGAAGTGAGGCAAATTTAATTGTGCTTTTTGCCTTTCTCCAGTAGCCTTTGATCCTAGTTTTAATACAGGGCTTGAGAACTGAATGATGATAATAAAGCATAAAGAACTGAATAAAGAACTTGATTAGGTAGAGAGTTCAGACAAGACCTTTCTGAAAGCCCAGAAGGGGAAGTAATGACATGCAGCCCAGCACTCCCTGTCAGCTGGAACAGAAATACCCATTTTCTTGCTGCTTTAACTATTTGAGGTAGAAGCCAATCACAGACTGGTTTGGGTTGGAAAGGTAAGCCAGGGCAGGGTGGGGAAGGAGGTGCTAAAATAGCATTTGTGTCATCACCTACTGATCCATAAAGGACATTATTATGTGTATAAAAATGTTCTGAATTTTAAGGTATCAACCCATCCAAAACAGTGCTTAGGAAATTATCAAGATAAATATTAAAATATTATGCAAGTCAGCAAATGAAATTAAAACTTACTGTTGGTTTGGTGGTTAAACTACCTTGCAAAGGAAATAAATGATCTGTGTCCCATGGCACTTCAGAGTATTAAAATAAGAAAGTACACTTGGCTGAGGTACTGTAAAGGATTATTCTTCACAAATTATTTGTCACACTGTTCTGTTGGCTTATACATGTTTAGTTGTACTCTGGTTTTGGGATCTAAAGCTTCTGACAACTTTTTATTTCTGTGCCATTTTGAGTAAAAACAGTAATTGGAGATTGTTCTACAAAAGTTAAAGCAAATTATGTGATTAATTTTAATTTCCTTCTACTGCAGATTAGTGTAAGTAGATCCTTTCAAGGCAGATGTTTGCAGTATGATATTTCTGAAATACAGAATGATTAGAAGAATAATGTTTCAAGACTTTCAATGATTTTGGCTTAGAGAGGCTCACAGAGAAATTTGTGACAATGGAGATGTATAAAAAAAGATCTCTAGTTATGCTGAAATGCTTCTTTTCTGATCCTTTCCTTTTCCTTGTTGCAGTCTGATCATAGGAATTGTTTGAGACCATCTGGAGTGCCTCCATACTGATGTTCATTTTAGAATGAATTCATTATTATTCAGGCCACTCGAGTCTTTCCTGTGCAAGTTATTGCTGCTGCTTCTGGTTGCTGCTTGGTAGATAACCCCAGTAGGAAAATCATGGTTCCTCAAAGAACCATGGTAAAACTTTGGGCAACAAAGGCAGGGACACATGAAAATCTCTCTGTTTTGATTGTCCAGATCTGTTATTTGTCACATAACAAAGCTTTTCTTTCTAAGTGCTTCAGGAACACTGATAGTGAATCCATCGGGGGAGAAATCTTTCTGTATTCTGCTGCGTAAAATGAGGAGCTAGGTGTGGAAGATCTTGCATGTAAATGAAAATTTTGAAGTGGCTTAAAAGTGCTCAGTGCATATTTTTCTTTTAATTTTAGTATCTCTTGTGAATTATAGTGTGCTAAGTAGGAGGAAATAACTCTGATCGCTTGTGCAAAATATGAAAGACTTGGCCATATTTTGGTAGCTAGATTTAAACTAATGAATCAGCATTGCAGGTATTTTTCAGTATCTCTGTCGTGTGCCGTGTTACAATGCCTTGATCTATAACCTCCCATCTTTTTAGCAGATCAGGATAGAATTAGTCCTCTACTACCTCTTGGCAAGTGTCTGAAAAACAAGTGTGGTAGTATCTTGGGCAGTAGTTTGACAAAATTTCTTTAAAACGTTCAAAACCAAGGCCATGTGTTACCTGCCACGTGTGATCCCACGGGATCAGAACTGAGAGTATCCCATAAGTATGACCTTTAGAATTTGTAGGTATGTTGCTTTTTGTGTAAAATTTGTCATGAATTTCAGCCAAACTCTCTTTATCCAGCTCATGGATGTTTGCCACGTGTACCTTCAGGCTGATCTTTGGTTCTTGGGAACCAGTAGAACAGCTTACATTTCTTTTGCTGGGAAGAAGGGTTTGGACAGTGAGCATTTATTGCCAATGAGTCTGGATTTGACAAGTTAAATGACTTGTTAACAGAAAGCAATTTGTTATTTTTGCTGACTTATTTTCAGGCAAGATATATGGTTTGGGGAAAATACCATGGGCAGGTTACAGATTCCTGGAAATATGAGATAGGCAATGGAAACATACAGAAAGTACAGACTTGCTGGCTGCACAATGTTTATTAATTGGTTTGTTTTTTTTTTTAATTTATACTATTTTGCATAAATAAGCTCTTGGTTTTTAATGTTCTGATGAAATGTTTCATATTTTGCAGATGAGTTCAGTGAAAATGCTGCGGTCACGTCTCAATGGTATCCTCTTCCGCCTCATGTTTGAGGAGCACGTGAGCAACATCAAGCCTGACATCATAGCAGTGACTCTGGCCTGTGAAGAGCTCAAGAAGAGTGAAAGCTTTAGTAAGCTGTTAGAGCTGGTGCTGTTGCTCGGGAACTACATGAACTCTGGCTCCAGAAACGCACAGTCTCTTGGCTTCAAGATCAGCTTTCTTTGCAAGGTAAGCTGGAGCTATAAAGCTTTGAAGTGCAGATTCATGAAACTCAAGACACATGAGAAAGTTCTCTAAGCAGGGAGAAGCATTCCATCAGTGTAATTTACTGACTGCTCCTCTGTGTTTAATAACAGGGAAACACTGAGTAAGCACTTCCAGGCTGGTCCCTACTGTAGCTATGTTGGTGCAATGGGGGTTTAAAGCAGTTTAAATCTGAGTCTGTTCTGAGTCTTTCTGGAGTACACAAGTAGAACCCTTTTTTTTTTGGTCTGATTTTGTTTACTTATCATCTTGTCAATAGAATATACACAGAGCCCTGACTGTGTTAAAAAGCTCTGGTTACTCATCTTTCTTCCCATCTTCTACCCAGCTGTCCCTCAAGCACTGTCATAGAAATAAGGTTAGGCAACAACTTCTGTTGTGGTGGCAAAATATGGGAAGAAGCAAGAACTCCAGGGTCGAGGCCAGACAGAATTTCATCTGCAGTGCTCCTTTGTTTAGATGGTAACGTGTGTAAGGCATTGACCATCTCACTTCAAAAACTGCCTTTGAAGCTACCTTAAAAATAAAGAGATGCAACATTTGTCAACGGATTAAGAAATAAAAGATACTAAACTTGCAAAGAATTTTTTGTGGTCTGATCAGAGGATCCAGATTTCAGGTCCCTTTTTTGGGCACCATGAGGAGATCTGATGTATGCCTCAAGGAGATTTAACCTTGCGAGAAAATTCTGTTTCGGATACACAGCAAGTGTGATCTGGTGTGTTTCAAAGAAAGGCTCTGCATGTTGTGACTTGATGCAAGGATGTTGCCAACTTCTGATATAATGAAAATCATCACCTGAGAAAAACTTTTATTCTTTAATAACTTTATTAAAAGCGAAGCCAAGTTGAAGGATTTTTTTTCACACATCTCATGCTGCATTTTCTTTATGGTAATAGAGGAATCTAAAGGGAAATTAATATTTTAAGTAGAAAGCTACTTATTACTGAGGGGGAGGGGAAATGGTGACTGTTCAGGAATGGTTCTCTAGTATAGCTGAGATCTGAGAAGTTGTTCTTGCACTCCAGGTGATAGATTTATGAATTGCTTTCAATGCAAATCTCACATGTTGACACAGCTAATGTAGATTGACTAATCCTGCAAAATTGTTCTCTGCTGTGCTGAATAATTGCTGAAGCACAGCTACCTGTGCTTACAGCTAAATTCCATTCCAAGCAGCAGAGACTGAAATCTCTGACTATTTAATTCAGCATCGCCCTGAGAAACAAAACCTGTTCCCTTTCTTGTATTTGTTTTCAAGGCGGGTATTTCTGAGGGAAGTGTTCTTTGCTGTTTGGTGGTTTGGTTGGGTTTTTTTCACTTCCCTGTGAGATTTAGAGCAATCCTGAAACATTCTGCATAATGAACTGTTGGCTGTGCTGTTGCATTTAGGTAGCAGATACATTCTGTTATCAGGTCATGGCTAAGAGCAATCACAGACAGCAATGGTGGTTGGAACAAAAAAGATCTTGCCAAGATCCAGACATGAAATTGTATCATTAATATCTCCATGTATTGATTGAAGCTTATGAATTATCACTCATAAGTGCCAAACTCAGAACAAGTCACTGAAGTTAATGGAAATGTAGATCAGTTTCCCTGGACAGTGTGACAAGTGCATTGTCTGCAATTTAAATCATTGTTTATTACTCGTGTTAAACGGTGTTTTTTGCTATTTAAAGTTCTGATTTTCATTGGTTTATTTATAGGATTAGGATAACAATATGTTTTGGCAAGACTTATTTTTGCTCAAATGGTTTTGTACCTGTACTTATGCTTTAATATCCTCTCTCAAGAGGTAACCCCTCCACTCTATTGGTGTTTAATTTTAGAAATGAGTTGTTTTTATGATATTTTGAACAGATTTTTTTTAATTACTATTAAGTATCCACATTTATAGTTAGACTATGACTCTCTTTTTGCATTGATTATTTTCAAGTCAGAATTGCTTTTGGTCCCTTTGTTTAGTAGCTTTCAATTCTTCCTTCCTATTTTCCATCCAAAAGACTAAGATGCCTTTAGCTTTGTGTTATGAACTAAGACTACAGGCTTTGGTACCTGTTGTGAACAGTATGAAATATTAAACTATATCAGGTGAGGATATCTTTTACAAACACCAGCTTTGATATCTCTCTACAGCCACCTGCCAGATTTATTACATTATTCAAAGAGTCTCAAAATTTATGATTGTTGGTCAATAATTGGCCTTCACTGAGAAAACGAAAATTTATCTGTGTGTCAGCATGGCAGAGGGAGAGTGTTCTATTTACTGAAATCTTGCTGTGAATGAAAGTTTCTAGTTTATATTTTTTGACTGTGGAAGGCAATGATAGAAAGAAGTGACATGTATCAGTGAGGGCAAGGCAGCAGTTTGCCAGTGTCATGTGCCTTACCTGGGTGTGTTTTCTGGGGCATCTGGATGCTGCTAAATAGTGAAGGTTGTGTGAACAATGAAAGTTTTTTAAAATTAGTTTAAATTTTTTTGTGCACGTGGTGTTAGTTTGAGAAGGCACTGTTGCTATGTTAGAGGATTTCCTTGAATGGTTTTCATGTGTATTCATTTCTGCTCCTTTCAGTCGTCAAACTAGAGGACTAGATGATCTGTAAGGTCCATTCCAGCCCCTTAATTCTAATTTGTGAGCCCTTATTGTGCACTTTGATAGCATACCTCCCATTTTAGACCAGTGATTTATACTATCACTCAGTGAACTTTCTGCCCATGAAAAAGAACTTGTAAAATTTTTTTGTGCTTTTTTGAGCCAGTTGTCAACAAGGTAGAACACATCTGTGTGCCCAATTTATGTGCAGAATACACACACTTAATGATGAAGAATCCTGATGTGATGAATTCACTTTTCAGTAAAACCCTATTTTTGTATTAATGTTTTTGTTTGTTTCTTGAATAATCTTAGTTGTCTCTTTAGTAGATGTAGTACTTATATTATGTAATCTGGAAAAAAAAAGACAACTATTGATCTGGGATAAATGTTTGGCTTTGGAAAATAATTGTTTTTACAACAGTTATATCATACTCAGAAGACTGTTCTTGTCTAACAATTTTTATTAAAACATGATAAAGGAAAATAAAAGAAAGCACAAATTCCAACTTGTCTGGGCTGAGCTAAAAAGCTAATGCCTGTATAGTAATTGCAAATCCCTAAAAACAGATTATCTTTTGGGATGTTATATTGCAATATATGATGTTATTGAAGACAGAACTGATTTGTAAACAACCTTTAGCAGAAGGCAGAACCCTTAATTTTGTTCAAATAAGAGACTTCAGCATCAGAATTCATGTGCTGTATCAAGACTGGCAAGTGGGAGCAGCTATTCCCATGTATGCACCAAAGCACTTGGATTGCCTGAGTATGAAGGGTTCTGAAAAAACAGAAATAGGGCAGAAAAAGTGCTAAAGTTGGGGAGGCTGCTCTAGTAATTCATTACAGGTAAATCTTTAGACCTGTTGCTGTGTTTGTTTGATTTGTACAAAAGATCCAGCAGCTTTTCCAAACCCTCATTGCAGCAGGAGAATCCTCATGGTGCTGTAAACTTCTGCTACATGGGAATGGAACTGAAAGGAGTTTGCTTTAGGCACGTGTAGGTACATCTTCCTTTCCTGCGTGATGAATTATGGAAAGGCTAACAGCAAGCTTCCCTCAGTTTTAATAAAGCTTTTGTAGTATTCCAACTGGATCAATATGTATTTTATGTAATAAGTAATTTTATCTTAGTTTTTGTTCACAGTGCAAATAGTCCAAGACAAGCTGGTTGTCTAGTCTGAGTGTTATTAAATGAGTGTACATTTATTGTCTAGCAGCCCTTGTTCTGTTAAGGTGGGAAGGATTTCTAGGATATAAAAAGGTATATAATCTCATAAAAATCAATAGAAAGCTTTTTTATAGCAGTAATAAAGTGTCACTCTAGTGATGGTTCATACATCAGTTTTTCCTTACCTTGGCTGTCACATCTAACCCACACACCTGAAAGCTGCAGCAGAAGTACCTGTAAAAAAACCCAACCCCATTCTAAAAGTGGGTTATGGTGTGTTTGGCATGGTTTAAATGCTTTCCTGAGGTAGTGTATGGAAAGGGAGATTTTTGTTGGGCTGATGGTTTTTCTGGGTTACAGATCTAAACATACACTCTGTGTATTACTGATTTGAGTGGGTGCAATGTGAGTATTATGCTCTGTGTACATTAGTCTTTAATCTGTTCCCAAACAATGAATCTGATATTATTGACCCTCAAATTGATGCTTCAGCATTCAGCACTAGCTGCTTTCTGTAGCCAACAGTGATCTACCAATTTATTTTATTTAGTTTTAGGCTCAAAACCTGTGGTTTGAAATTTGAACACCACAGTACTAAAAATTTACCCTGAATCAAAGAATCAGAGAATATCCTGAGTTGGAAGGGGCTCACGAGGATCATCAAAGTCCAACTCTTGGTCTTGTAAGCACAACTTAATAGGCTCTTTTTTTTCCCCTTCACTCACTTGGCTGTGGCATGTAGAACTGCAAAAATTAGGCTAAGGCATTAGGTTCTTTACAAGTCAAGGAATAGTATGTCTATTGGGCAAAATTGCTGCAAGTAAAAAAGTCGAATATTAAAAGTTATTGCATTTATACGCCAAAAATTTAACGAGTGTGTTATTGAATATGAGCATATATTGAAGACAAGTAGAGTGTGTGATTACAGTGTCTGTAAAGACAGAGCCACACTGTTGTTAGCATTCCAGTTCCTACATTTTTTTTCTAGTTTAATACTTAAATAGTCTATGCTAAACTACAGTCAAACCCCACCAATCTTCCTTGTCATTATATGAGTAGGCTTAGAACTTGATTTTTAATGTATATATATTGATTCTAAAGATCAGAGCTATCTGCTATCCATCTCAGCTGTTGAAAATAAGTCTGACTGCAGCAGGGTCATGTTCATGATTGGGCCAAAGGAGTGAATTTGGCAC